GCTCCCTGTTTGGGGTCCTCGAGATGGTAAGAACCAATGACGGCTGGAGACAATCGGTGATATGACTGAAAATCGTTCTCAATGAGAGAGCAGATGCATCCACTCCTTGTGACTTATAATATCCAATAAAACTATATTGTTCTTCGATATTACTGTTCGTTTTGCTTCACATTTCTGTGTATTATCTCTGTTTTGTATCTCTTGTCACTTTCTTCTCTTGCTTTTTGTGCTAAGTGAAGTGTGGCGACTCATGCTGCTGTACATCCGTGAGAAGTTTTGCGTTGAAACCAGTCAGTCAGTCTTGATTCGATTTTTACTCCCAGTACCGCTCACTATGCAATCTCTGTTGATCTAACTGGAGTGTTGCCCGTCGAAACCATGCTTTCAAGCCCAGCAGTGCCAGTCTCCTGGTACAAGACGTAAGAATGAACTAAGATATCTCTTCTTATTGCACAGATTCAAGGTGCAGTGGTTTAGGGAGTAGATTGTACTTAAATCCACCACAGATTTAGAACAGCTTCAAGACAATAAGAAGCGAGCTCCAATAAGTCATAAGGTTTATAAAAGTTGGTCAAGAGGCTCTTGTATATTGAGTGTTATTCTTCAGAGCAATCATAGTTTTTTTTTGTGACTCCTAAGCTTGTCTATTATTTGACAGTTTCCAAAAAGGCCGCCTAGGTAATGTCTTCAATGTTACTGCAGGAGCAAACTGATTCCTATCTCCTATCAGTATTTGCGGAATTATAAATTAGGTCAAATGCATGTAATCTTTTCATTCTCGCTTTCAACGACGACAACTGTCTGTCTCAAGGCGTAGTAAAATGATGTTCTTATTACTTAATACTTTAGATGGACGGCCATATATCTCATCGTCACGAAAGATGACTCCAGTTTAACTCTCTGGTTTTGTGCGGAAACTTTATAAACATTCTGGTCATTGAGGAATGTATGATTTTCTATATAATCAAGGTGATAATGTTACCAAATCACTTTAATGACACCTCACACTAGGAGTTGGTGTATGGGCATCCTGTAAAACCACCTAATATATATTTCAGAGGCCAATTCTGCTCTGAATAAGATCAGTTTTCTACTCAGTGAATTTCGTCAAATTCTTTATTTAATAGAATTAAACAACCTGATATGTGTAAATTATTTGGCACTTTCTATGATACCAAATTAGAGGTGTTGTAGGTAAATCGAATCAGCTGTATCATTGAGAGTTAATGATTATAACAGTATTGAATATTTATTCAAGTAATACACAGTCTTAACATAAGACGGATAATAAGAGATTTTCTGTACGGAGTTATAAAAAGTCAATTCAAGGAAAAGATCAATAAAATAGTTCGGGAACAACACAATGAAATCAGGTAGGCCTGATTATCACGAGCATTCAAAGAAGCGTTAGTTACTCAGCAGAATAATTTGTCGTTGATTTCAATTTGGAGCCATTAATTTGCTTACATTAATCTATTTATAACGATGATAATGATCAGCACCAAATCTCAAGAGGAAGCCAGCACGAACCAAAGCATGATCAAATTCCAGACTGACGATGCAGAAGAAGTGAAAATCCTGTATTACTGCCAGTAACATGATCTATTCGAGTTGCTGTCGTCCAAATAGTTAGTTAGTTAGTTGTGCGTCGGTGGCACAGTGGTAGAGTGCTCACCGACCACGCATGTGGTCCGGGGTTCGATCCCTGGTCATCGATGCACTCCTTTACCTCGCTAAGCCAGTAGTAATACTGTTAAAAGAGAAGGTTGGGTGGCATGAGGCTAGCAATCCCATCATGTAAAAATAATCACCACTGCTACAGAAACTTCAAGTCTCTAGCTTGAAGTCACATTGTGTTCCACTAGGAACGTAAAGGAATAGAAAATAAACTTAGTTGCCCAGAACAGATTCTTCATTTGTTAGGCTATTTTGGGAGAACTGATGACGTAACCCAGTTGCTCAGACTGTAGTAGGTGGATTGGGACTCAAACCCTGGACCTATTTGTCTAAAAGCCAGGGAGCTACATGTCTGTTTGAATCCGTGATTGTATAGAAGAGATAGGACGCCATGGTACATTGTTGGGGAAAGCTGAAGGCGACAGTCCCCATTATGTGACATACTATCATCTGGTCTCTGTTGAACCATCAGACACGCAATTTGTGCATCCAAGTCCTCACTTGCCACTGCTTGGTTGAGAGTTTTGCTTAGTTGATGGTAAAATTGATGGTTAACTCTATCCAGGACTTCAATTTGTTGGTAAGTAGGCAGAGATGGTAAGACAACAATGTTTTTCTGGCCATTTGCTTCCTACTTTTAATATCACATTATGGTTTAACAACAAACAAACAACTGTTAATGGGAGTGCAGTTAAGTTAACGCAGCTTTGACTCAAACGCTTGGCGAAATTCTGACACCACCTGAACTGAACACCAACACCTTATAGTCGCCAAATTACCACACAGCACACACACACACAAAATGTGTTATCTTAAATGACATATGGGAAAGTTATTTCAAATACTTTTCTGGGACCTTAAATGTAGCTTTTTGGAATGAAATATGCATGTGGATTTCGCAGTTGATGTATGTCTAATGTCACATAAACTCGAAAACTTGCAGGCGAAAAGCAACAAACTGGCTGAAGAAGCAGCCAGTGAAGACTCCAGGGGAACATAGAAAAAAACGGAGGTAATGAAGATAACCAACCAACAGCAATAACAACAACCAGCACCAATCACCATCGACAGGAGAGATCTGACAGAGGTTATCTCCTTCACTTATCTGGTTAGGCAGCATCATTTGAATCACAGGCACACGACACGGATGAAGATGTCAAAGCAGGTGAGAATCGGAAAAGCAAGGTACTCCTTCATCAACCTGAAACCAGTTTGGAAATCTTCTACACTGAATCACCATTAACAACAAGATTCTGATTTTCAACACAAATCTGAAGTCAGTCAATTCTTCTATATGTGTCAGAAACTTGTACTGCGTGTCACGAAAAAGGATTTCCGACAGGCAAGTGCAGACTTATATCAACAGTTGCCCACTTCGCTGGATGACCAGCCAGCCAGAAAGAATTAACAGCAAAAAACTCTGGCTGGGAACAAACCAACATGCCAGAGCCGATTGCTCAACAAATATGTAGGAGAAAATGGGGGTGGTTTGATCGGGCATACATACATTGAAGAGGCCGTCGAAGGACATCGTGTGCCAGGAGATTGGTACGAAGTGTGCTGAAATTGAAGTATCCATAGAGATTCAGAGCTTTTACTCAAACTTAGGCTGAACACAGTCTTGTGCACATCGACCTCTTCTAACGCTTAACATATCCATGTTTTCCTTTCACCCGTTACCTCCCTCTACCGCCATAAGATGACTACTTGTAACCTAATTTATACTTGCCACAATCAGATATCACAAATAAACTGTTGGAACTGTTTGCTGATGAATGGTCATTAAATATGTATAAGTTTCCGGTCTATTTTCTTTAAAATGTTATAACTATTGTAGATGTTGACAAGCATAGATAATACAAAAGGTAGTAATAAGGTGAGCAATACTGAGGTTAGGTGTCGAGTGCTAGGTAAGGAGGGGAAATCAATCGACGAGACTGAAATTACATCGACTGAGATGGTTAGGACATGTGTTACGTATGCCTAGCTGAGTCATCGCCTTCCTCGACAGACGGGGAATGTTAGCCGACATAGAGTCAGGCGAGAAAAGAGCTAGTGGTGGTCAAACCAAAACATGACTTCACCAGTCAATGAAATCCACAACAGTTAGTTTAAGCCAGCCAGTCACGTAGGGAGGGAGGTGTAGACTTCCTGACTGGTTGGGGTCCTCGGGACGGTAAAAACCAATGGTTGGAAACAATTGGTGACATGGCTCAAAATCCTCGTTGTCAATGACTGGCGCAGATGCATCCACTCCTTGTGACTTATGATTTCCAATGAAACTGTTTTGTTCTTCATTATTACTATTCCTTTGTCTCACACGTCTGTTTACTGTCATTATTATGCATTTCTTCTACTTCCTTCTCTTGCTTTGTGTGCTACATAGATTGTGGCGACTTGAACTGACGCACATATGTGCAAAGTTCTATGTCAAAAACAGACAGACTATCATACAAAGTATGAGTATATTTCTTCTCCAACCCTCAAATATACTCACGGGATTCGGATCAAAGAACAATTTAGTAGACTATTATCAGAGTAACAATTTACTCGTCCAAAATACGAAACCATATCTCGAAGTTGATACTGTTCAGTTCGGTACTGCACAACTGAATATCACAAAACATTGTGCCAAATGATATCGGTACCTAACTGCACACCTTTAGCGTAACAGCCAATCAACTTGAGCAGTGAAGGTGTTAGCACCCAATGTGACCATTTCAAGCTTGTTCATGGATTGATATCAGCCGGGTGACTACTGAGAACTAAAGAATACTGTACGGCTGTTTCGTCCTAGTTTGAGACTCTCGATCGGTACTCACCTATGACCCCACTTCACCTCTAGGGATTGAACCCAGCACCTTCAGGTTATGAGGTAATCTCACTGACCATTCAGGCATTAGAAAGGAATCCAATGACCTCTGAATTCTAACCACTGAGATCCAACAGGTCAACGACAACATTGGCTGACGGGGACTCTAAACATCTCGATTCGCCAAAAGATGCATTTCATAGGCTATGAGGGACTCTGTCCCAGTGGATTGATTGGTCAACGACCTAACCTTGTAACCTAACAGTGATAGATTTGATCCCGGTGGGATCATGGATGCATATTGTCGACGAGTAGTCGGTCCCACGCCAGAACGAAACAGCTGTCCAGTACTTCCTGGTTTTCAGTGCCCCCCATCGCCCTCCCCAACTAATTGATATCGATCTGTGATTGAGCCAATCAAATCCCTACAAACTAACACCTAAAAACTATTATTATTATTATTATGAGTGCAGTAATACTAATGGTAATGTCTTTCTTTTCTATTGTCTAGCTAAAAGTATGAAGTTCTTCATATTGTAAATACAAGTATATATGTATGTATATATGCTGTACAAAGCTGTCCAATTCGAAACAATTCAGGGAGAAACAACTACATAATATACTACTTATATATATATTTATATACATATATTGCAAATTATTTAATACCACTGAAATGTCATCTTGGTCATCAGAACAATTAAAATTCAACGGTGAAGATTTTGACTATGATATGGATTATTTACTCTTTGGAAAGTATGCTAAACTGAATTCGCATACTGTGAGTAACAACTGTCATTCAGGACAATCATCTGTATATAATGTATCCAATTCAATGACGAGGATAATGAACACGCCATTTTGTCTACCGAATCCTCCTCCTGCTCCTCCGCCTCACCATCATCAAAATCATCATCACAATCCGCCTTCTCATCGTCATTCTTCTATGCATCCAATGAATTCTGCTCTACCTCCTCCTAGTCAACCTATGATAATAACTGATGGATGGCGAAATACTGACCTATGCCTTGATAATTTCAATTATACTACAGGAAGTGTAAACATGAATCAGCTTTGTGAAGAAAATGTTCATCTCTCAAGGAATTCTGATGGTAGTAATAATCACAGTGATGAGTATCTACACGATGACAGTGATGTTGAGCCCAAGTTGAATTTAACCGATCCATTGATGACAGATATTGCAGTTGGCGATTTAGGTAGGTATATTCTTTCGCTCTAAATTTTTTTGATGTTATTGTTTTTTTATTCCTGACACCGGTCGGTCGGTCGGTTTTCGACATAGAACTTTGCACATATGTGCAGCAGTTCAAGTCGCCACACTCCATTTAGCACACAAAGCAGGAGAAGAAAGTTGAAGAAATGCATAATATAGACAGTAAACAGAGGTGTGAGACAAAGGAATAGTAATAACGAAGAACAAAACAGTTTAATTGGAAATCGTAAGTCACAAGGAGTGGATGCATCTGCACCAGCCATTGAGAACGATGAATTTGAACCATGTCACGAATTGTTTCCAACCATTGGTTTTCACCGTCCCGAGGACCCCAACCAGGAAGCCAGTCTACACCTTCCTACGTGGCTGGCTGGCTTAAACTAACTGTTGTGGATTTCATTGACTCATCCGGTCATGTTTTAGTTTGACCACCACTAGCTCTTTTCCAGCCTGGCCCTATATCAGCTAACATTGCCCGTCAGTCGAGGAAGGCGATGACTAGGCATACGTAGCAGATGTCCTAACCACTTTAATTTCACACACACACACCATATATATATATTTTACTCAGTTCTGAAGTAATTTGGTGCATGGTGACTAGCAGTTGTTGCATCCAGGATGTGCATTTGACCCTCCTATTCGGGACTGATCAGCTACTGGATGCGAGCGAGTGGTGGTGTGTCCGTCAGGGATGCCGACTCACACTATCTCCATTTCTATTCAATTTCATCATAGATGTACTACTAATGGATTTAACCCTAACTGTGCAGACTTCAGCGACTCAGGGATTGACTTGTTGCCACCAGGGAATAATAGTCTTGTTGACTTAGAATGTGCAGATGATATAGTCCCCCCCACTCCTAGGTGAAGATGCTGACAAAATAGAGCAGAGTCTTCTGAACACCTTGAGCTGCAATCTGAGAATGTTCGGTATGCGATTCGCTCCTGTCAAATATTAAATGATGCTACAGGACTTGATTATATTGACTCACAGCTTAAAGACAGGAAGTGAAGTGGTTCGTGGAGCGTGTTGACCACTTCACTTATTTGGGAAGTTGAATCAGCCAGTGCCAGCGGGTTGATCGCAAATGAAATATCAGCACGTATATAGAAGGTCAGTTTCACACATGCCAGTTTACACCGTCTCTGGCGTAGACGTGTTATCCGGCTGACTATCGACCAAAGGATGTGTGTACTGCTGAGCAGTCCGCCCCGTCCTTGTTTATGGCTGTGGGAAGTGACCATTTAGAGTGGAAGACATGAAAAGGTGGGCTAGTTGTCTTTGATGATAGGTGCCTGCATTCTATCTCCCGTGTGAAGTGGTATAATAGGGTGAGCAATATTGAGGTTCGGCGTTGAGTGCTAGGTAGGTGGGAGGGGAAATCAATAGACGAGGCTTTGAAGTTACATCGATTGAGGTGGTTAGGACGTGTGTAACGCATCTAGAGCCATCGCCTTCCTCGATTTACGGGCAATGTTAGCTGACATATAGGGTCAGGTAGAAAAGAGACAGCTAGTGGTGGTCAAACCAAAACATGGTTTCATCAGTCAATGAAATCCACAACAGTTATTTTGAGCCACATAGGAAGGTGTAGACTGGCTTCCTGATTGAAGTCCTCGGCATGGTAAGAACCAATGACGGCTGGGAACAATCGGTGATATGACTGAAAATCGTTCTCAATGGCTGTCACAGATGCATCCACTCCTTGTGACTTATAATATCCAATAAAACTGTATTGTTCTTCGATATTACTATTCTTTTTGTCTCATATCTCTGTTTACTGTCTCTATTTTGCATTTCTTTTTACTTTCTTCTCTTGCTTTGTGTGCTACATGGAGGGAGTGTGGCGACTCGAACTGCTGCACATCGGTGCAAAGTTTTACGTTGAAACCAGTCAGTCAGTCAGTCAGGCTTACAAAGCAACTCAAGAAGGTTATAGTTCATCTCAAGATTGAATTGTCTGAAATCATCTAATGTGGATGACTAATCATTCTAATCGAAATGCAGCAGCTATCAAGGGAGTGAGAGGATTGACTACACTCTCTTTCTGCATGCATAAATTTGCTATGAAATGCTTCTATTATCATAGGTGGCAGTGAATTTGAAACTAATTCAAATGTTTATTACATAACTTGGATTGTGTATTCCCTCTGATCTTCCTAATTTTTAGAAAGATACTTCCTTTAACCTTCTATATAAGGAAGTCAAGACAATCTTCTATTACTCAGTCTCTACTTTCACCTTTTCTCCCCTGTTGTTCCGCAGTCGTAATCTCTCTTGGGCTACTTAAGAATAACCTTGTTATCCTTCGAAGGTCAGTAGGGCGAGTGGAATGTCGGCTAAACTGTTGCAGATAGATACATGGATTCATGTATATATACATAAGAAATTAGCGAATATTATCTTATCAGACTGTGATGAGCATCCTCTTGATACACACAACTCTCTCTCTCTCTTCACGTTTGCATCTCATCAGGTAGAGGAACTAGAAGCAAGTATAGAAGCCTGCATGCTTGGACGACTAAGTATAACAGTTCTACAATATTCAAGTATTGGCCTGTAAGGATTTGGTTGATTGGTTGCATGATTTCATCATGACCTGACATTGGTTAGAGAACCATTGGAAAAGCATTAAGGGAGTACTGGACAGCTGTCTCGTCAGTCTACTTTGGGATTCTTCAGCAGTACGCACCCACCGCCAGGGTTCGAACCCAGGAGCTTCTGGTTACAAGGCTAGCGAGCTCGTATACCATTAAGCCACTGGGACCCGATCCAATGGCCAGCCAGCCAGCCCGTGAATTCTAACTTTTGCCAATTCACGATATAGCGCAACCGCTAGCCAATGTCATCTGTGGCGAGTATTTGTCCTCACACCCGACCACCTGTTGCACCCTACTGGTCACGACTTCCCACTTTTACAATAGCGTATTTGGCCAGGATACATTTTTTGTGTGTATTGCGAGAAGTGTAAGGAAGCCTGAAACTACTACCTTACTGAAAAACACTAAGCCAACAGCGGTTTTTATTCTTTCCTTCATTATTATTATTATTATATTGCTGTTAATATTTTCACTTAAATTTGTTTTTATACTCATATTCTTATTGAACCATATTATCTATCAGTGTGAATGCCCTGTTTTAATGATGATTACCCCTGTAGTGAGAATATTAGATGTAATAAATGTCCTGTATGCTGAAAACTTCATATTTGTATCAAAAGTACTATTTGGAGTAAAGCTATTATTATTATTATTACTCCGTCCTCCTTTATGGCTGTGAGACCTGGCCATTGAGAGCAGAAGGCATGAAAACATTAGCTGTCTTTGATCATAGGTGCCTGCGTTTTATCTCCCGTGTGTGTTAGGTGGTATAATAAGGTGAGCAATATTGAGGTTAGGCATCGGTCGAGTGAGTGCTAGGTAAGGAGGGGAAATCAGTCGACGAAACTGTGAAATTACATCGACTGAGATGGTTAGGACATGTGTTACGTATGCCTAGCCTAGTCATCGCCTTCCTCGACTGACGGGCAATGTTAGCTGATATAGGGCCAGGCTGGAGAAGAGCTAGCGGCGATCAAACCAAAACATGGCACCAGTCAAAGAAATCTACAACAGTTAGTCTAAGCCACGTAGGAGGATGTAGACATTCTGGTTGGGGTCCTCGTGACAGTAAAAACCAATGGTTGGAAACAATTGGTGACATGGCTCAAAGTCGTTGTCAATGGCTGGTGCAGATGCATCCACTCCTTGTGACTTATGATTTCCAATGAAACTGTTTGGTTCTCCGTTATTACTATTCCTTTGTCTCACACCTCTGTTTACTGACTATATTATGCATTTCTTCTACTTTCTTCTCTTGCTTTGTGTGCTTCATTGAGGGAGTGTGGGGACTTGAACTGCCGCATATATGTGCAAAGTTCTATGTCGAAAACCGACCGACCGATTATTACTTCCTAACTTGGTTTATATAGTATTTCACTCCCTCGTGTTTTGTTTATGAATACAGTTTTCTATATTTTTAAATATTCCCATGGTTAAAATTAGAACAAGACATAGAAGCGAGCAATATTGTTTTCAATTAGATTCACTTATGATTGTTCAAGCGAAAGATAAACTATTTAATTGAATTTTAGATTTTCCCATCGATTGATTGGACCGAAATGCACGGTCTCCAGATGACGAGTCCCAAAATGGGACGAAATGCGCTTTATCCTGGCTGGATTCCACTGCTAGTCACCCACCATCCACCAATTAACTTCTAATTACATGATCAGACATCTTCGAAGCATCTGCACAAGAAGCCGACGGATATGTCAACCTGAGATCGAGCATTTCGGTCCAATCAATCGACGGGAAAATTTAAAATTCAATTAAATAGTTAATATGACCCGTTGCACAAGAGGTGGCTCTCGTGGTCCAAGTGGTCTAGTAGATAACGCTTTGGCGTTTGAAATTATAGGCACTGGGTTCGAGCCTCGGTGGGAATATCATCACTCAATGACTGGGGAATGCAGGTACGTCCATCCACCTGACGAGTCCCGAATAGGACGAAATGCGCATCCCAGTGGATTCCACTGCTAGTCACCATCCACTTCGAAAGATAAACTGTCCAGCTGTGCCACTTCTATGTGCACAGCTGTTCCGGTGGAGAAAGCCATACATATATTTACAGGGTGAACAACTAGACAGCTCAACAAACGCAGTACTAAGCATCTTCCTTCACAGTTCAGAAAAGACCAAATAAAATCTATGAGAAGTTCTATTTTGTCTGATTTGATTGATGATAGCCGTCATCAAGCGGATAACAGAAGAAGTGTCTTCAAGGTAATCTGTCCTGCTCCATTGAACCTTTTGATAAATGGAATTCGAATCCACCTTTTACACATAGTCGACAAAACAATCCTAGTCTTATTCTCCATTTCCTTCGTACTTTTATGGTACTTATTTAAACTCAGATCATTTTTCCACTTTACTTTTAGTGTT